TGTCTTTCACTGCAGTGTAACCCTGTGGATATGCTCACCAAGCATTATCTCCACACTGAAAAAAAACCTGTTTGCTTCCCTGTTTTTCGCAGTAAGGAAATCCTTTTGACTGTGAATCATGACATGACCAGTCTAGGAACCTCCACTGTGGGGAACGTCCCCCCCCCACTTCCGCCCCCCAGCAGACATTAGTTCCTTCTTCACTTGGCCCAGTCCAATTTGTATACATACTGTATTGCTCTTCTAAAACAAGCAACAGAATGCCCGCATGCCACCTTTTTCATTCATTAAATGTAAGCTGCTGGAGAAGGAGCATGCACAGGGCTGGCTCAACAAGAACCAGCCCCACAGGCAATGAACAGCAAAGCATTAACAGCTGAAGTTTCCATCTATTTTCAGCTCTGTCTAAAGAACTGGTGTTCTGTATTTTTCCTTGCAGTTGACTAAAAGAATAGTAATTTTGGAGAAGAGTAATAAAATCAATGGGGATGTGGTGGTGCTGCGCGTTAAACCGCAAAGCCCTTGAATCCACACGATGGAGTGAGCTCTCATGTAAGATCAATGGGGATGTGGTGGTGCTGCGGGTTAAACCGCAAAGCCTCTGGGCTGCAAGGTCGAAAGATCAGCAGTTCAAAACCACACGATGCAGTGAGCTCTCATCACTTGTCCCAGCTCCTGCCAACCTAGCAGTTCGAAAGCATGTAAAATGCGAGTAGATAAATACCGTATTTTTCCATGTATAAGACTATACTTTTGTCTAAAATCTTTAGACTAAAAATTGAGGGTCATCTTATATATGGAAGTAAGCTGAGTAAAGAAAAAACTAATGGAGAGGAAAGCAGGGATCAAAGCGATCCTGCAGGGTTTAGATCCCTGTTTTCCCCTCCACTTGCTAAGCCTTAGCAAAAGGAAAGCAGAGATTAAAGCACAGCAGGATGGCTTTGATCCTTGCTTTCCCCTCTGCTTACTAAGTCCCATGGGGCTTAGCAAGTGTAGGGCGAAAGGATCAAAGCAATCCCATGGCTGTATAAGGGGGAATATGTATAAGGGGGAAACGGATCAAAACAATCATGCAGTTGCCGGATTACTTTGATCCCTTTCCTTCTCCTTTTGCTACAGATTGCTTTGATCCCTTTCCTTCTCCTTTTGCTAAGCCCTGCAGGGCTTAGCATGAAGGGAGAAAGCAAGCGTCAAAGTGATCCTGCAGTGCTTTGCTCCCTTTCCCCCTACACTTGCTAAGCCCCACTTAGATTTCTTAATTTTGGGTTAGAAAAGTGGGTGGGTGTTTTATACATGGGGATATCTTATACACGAAAAAATATAGTAGGTACCACCACGGTGGGAAGGTAACGGCGTTCTGTGTCTAGTCATGCTGGCCATGTGACCACGGAAACTATCTACTGACAAACATTGGCTCTACGGCTTGGAAACAAGGATGAGCACTGCCCCTTAGAGTCAGACACAACTTGACAATTGTCAAGTGGAACATTTACCTTTACCTAATAAGATCAATATGAAAACCAGTGTGGTTTATTGGATAGTGTGTCAGACTAGGACTCAGAAGACCTGGGTTCAAATCCCCATTCAACCATAGAAACTCATGGGTGTGTGTCGCAACGATAAACCACTTCTTAAATCCACCACGTACCTCAAAAACCCATTAGGGTTGCCATAAATTGGAAGTGACTTCACAGGACACAACAAAAGTAAGGTTCAAAGGTGAAAATGACCATATATTGGCTAGAAAATGTATGGGAGGATGGTGCAGGAAGTAAAATTCCTCTTGAATCTGGCTACAGAAAGCTCTTGAACTGCACTGCATCTGTACAATTCTGCCTTTCTAACTGAAGTAGAAAAACAAGAACAGAAGGTTACCTCACAGAAGAATGAGGAAGCAGATCTAATGTAGACCTGGAGGGGAGAAACAAGAATGGCACACCCCTGAGTTATTCAGCCTGCCTGCTGCCCCCATCACCACCTTCAAGCCACTTGCTGTACTGCAACAACCTTCCTCAAACTTTCAGTGGAAGATAACTTTTTCACCCCTGGGAAGCAGCAAGAAATGTGAAACAAACAGGAGATGAAGGGGGAAGAGAATGTCTTGTGGGAGGGCAGAAGGGAATGCTGGGTCCCTAACCAGAGGAATAGAATAGCTAAGGTTGGACTAGGATTCATTCAGCATGCTCACTAACAGTAGACCTGGGACTGCCACCTCTCAGCCGCCACCACTTGTGGCCAGCATTTTCACTCTCCCCAAACCATGCTATCTTCTGGGCTTTGAAAAACCTCCTCTCCTTCCCTTGCAATTGCCGACTGTTCAAATGAAAAATGAGGACTACCAAAGCAAGCATTGGTTCTATTTCGTTAGTGTGCGAATGGCAGCAATGACTGTACAGTGTATAGCTAAAAGACGCAAGAACCCAAAGAAAAAGCCCAATTTGCACTCAGGGCAGTTCAAGGTGGGCAGCCCTGCGGTCGAGGAACCCAGATTGAAGCAGGATCATGAATGGGTGTGTGAAGTGTGTGTGTGTTTGTGTGTGTGTGCGTGTGTGGTCTTCATTTTGTCGCAGCAAAATCAACGGAGTCTTTTGTCAATCGCTCAGGTGCACAAGGCTTTTGTGTAATTAACCACTCGCCAAGCGCCACCCTGGGATCCTTCTGGATCGATGGGCAGGGGCATGGAAATCAGTCAGCCGGTCAGCGAACCCCACGCATATTCTCGGCGGTGCGGCTCCGATTCAGACGGCAAGGGGAGGGAGGGCTCGCAGGCCTGCAGGCTCCCCCGCTCCGGCCCCGCGAAATGTCTCCGAAGGCCGGGCTCTGGCCCGTTCACCTCACAGCCGTTCCCGGGCGCCACACATTTACGCGCGCAAAACGGCATGCCCCGATTTCGCACAGAGGCTGATTGGGCTTGGGGCGTGTCAGGCCACGCGGCCCCCTCCCCACCTGCGGCTGCCGGTCGGGACCGAGTCCAAACCCAAGCCGAGGCCCACCTGGAGAACGAGGCCAAGCTCTTCTGGGCCGTTCTCCAGAAGGGCTTGCCCAGGTGTAGCGGCAGGCCTGGCAAGGTGGCTGGCCGGCCGGCCGGCCGTTGTCTGTCGTCCTCGTCCTCCTCCCATCCCCGCCTCCCCGCTCAAGCTC